CCGAATTGCCTTGATTCCCCACTCCCTCCTTCCCAGCTAATCACTGGAGCCACTGGGCTCCAGAGCCAGCCAGCCACCGGCTCTGATTGCCACCTCCCACCGGGCAGCCTCTCTGTAAAAGCCTGGGAGAGAGCACGGCCGGGCCAGGCAATGCTGACAAAAGAGCTGTTTCCCCACTGAAGTCATTCCATAATAACTTTAAGTAGGTTTTCCATTGGTTTTCCATTCAGCTTTCGCAGCCCCGTGATTGCATCTCACGAAAGCCCCTGGCCTTTCACATTTGTCTCCTGCGAATCACAAATCAAATCCCAATCCCAGTGGCTACCAGCAGGTAGCTGTAACTCCCCTGGGACCTGAGCTTGCCTCGAGGAAGGGATGTTTGGATGGCTGCCTACTTAATACATGCAGGTTTTGGTGGCTCCAAAAATCAGCCGGATGCCAGGGCATGGCTTCCCACCCTGGAATTCCTGTACCACAGTCTGAGCAGCCCATGGCTGCCCAGGCAGCCCCAAGCAGCAACTACATCTTTCCTAGAAAACCAAAAAAACCCACAAAAAACTAGGAAGCAGATGGGAATCCTCCTTCTGTTTGCTTTCCCAAGCCACAGGCATCTTGCTGGAGCAGGCAGGGACGAGGCTCTGCCCGGTCACTCCAGCAGCCTGACAGCTTTTTGACGTCCTGTAATTGCTTTCCTGCCACAACTCTTTTAAGCAGAGAGCTCCTGGCCAAAGCAATTTGTTCCCCATCAATTTTTATTTCCTGCTTTGTGCATGTGAGGGAGGGAAAACAAAGAGGGCGAAGGAGAATAAACAGAGCCGGGACCTGCTCCGGTGGGAAAGGTGGGAAGGGTTTGGCTCTTCAGCCATGGCAGACCTCATCATCATTCCAACGCGCTCTGCTCAACCAATTTCCAGCTGCTCATCCCTGTCTGGCAGTTTTTGGAGAAGGACTGCCATCCCAGGGTTTCACGGGGGAGTTTTGGCTCTTCAGCAGGATATGGCAGCCTTGATCATCATTCCAATGCACTCTGCTCATCCCTGCCACCAATTTCCAGCTGCTCATCCCTGTCTGGCAGTTTTGGGAGAAGGAGGACTGCTGTCCTAGGGGTTCCATGGGGAAGTTTTGGCTCTTCAACAGGATGTGGCAGCCCTGATCATCATTCCAAGGCACTCTGCTCAACCAACTTCCCACTGCTCATCCCTGTCTGACAGTTTGGGAGGAGAACTGCCATCCCAGGGGTTTCATGGAGGGGGTTTTGGCTCTTCAGCCAGGCAAGACATGGCAACCCTGATCATTCCAACCAGCTCTGCTCACCCCTGAACCAACTTCCAGCTTTTCATCCCTGTCTGACAGTTTCGGGAGAAGGAGGACTGCCATGCCAGGGGTTCCATGGGGAGGGGTTTTGACTCTTCAGCCATGGCAGACCTCATCATCATTCCAATGAGCTCTGCTCAACCAACTTCCAGCTGCTCATCCCTGTCTGGCAGTTTTGGAAAAAGGACTGCCATCCCAGGGGCTCCACTGGGGAGTTTTGGCTCTTCAGCAGGACGTGGCAGCCCTGATCATCATTCCAACCCGCTCTGCTGAACCAATTTCCCACTGCTCATCCCTGTCTGGCCGATTTGGGAGGACTAGGACTGCTGTCCCAGGGTCTCCGTGGGGGATCTGAGCCACCTCGAAGGCTCTCCTTGGTTCTTTGAGCCCGTGCTGGCTGCTCCTGCCGTGCTCCCTGAAGCTGCTGCTGCGAGCGGAGTTAATCTGCGGCAGTTTAAGGAGTCGTTGAGTGGGTCTGGCGGATGATGAATGTCTAAACCATTACCGGGTGAAGCTCCGTGGAGCTGTTTAAAACTGAATTCTCCCATGTAAATTTCTGCTCCATCAATCCTGATGACATGTCAAACATTGCTATTGTTTCCTGAACAAATTGGACGACATGCCCTTTCCTGCAGATTTGCCCACGAGAGCAGAACCAGCTCCTCGCTTTTGTCTCCTGCTCTGCTGGCCTTGCCCATGGCTGGGAAGGGTGGATGTGATGGCCCTTGGTGGGACAAAACATCCCAAATATTTGTGCCTGGGGGATGCAGATGGACAGAGAGCCAGGCCATGGGTATTTTTGTGTGATATTTTTGTGTGATTTGTGTGCCGGGTGCTCACACCATGCTGCAGCTCAGTAAATTAATCCTTTGGGTTATCCAGGCTCCCTCTTCTTGCCACTCTCCCGGAGTTTAGCTGCACAAATGTGGGATTTTTTTTTTTTTTTTTTTTTTAGAAATGGTCTGTGCTGGTGACAGCTCATAAAAGTACAGATGTGGGCCTACGTTTTCCTCCTGCCCTTTTGCAGGCTCCAGTGGGCAAATCCTGCTTTAATATTCCGGGCAGGAGAGGAGAGCCGTAAAAGCCATTTGATTGCTTCTCCAGGTGGAACCCCGAGAAACTTCCAGCCAGATGCCTTCCCTCCCCAGGCTGTGGGGATGGATGCTCGCGTGCTGGGGGGGAAAACGAGTCAGTGATTGGGAAAAGCCACAGGAAAACAGCTGGCACCCTGGGATTGCTGACAGCTCGCTGGGGTTTGGGGTGCTCTGCAGGCGTGTGCTCCCTCACAGCCCTCAAAGGGAGTGTGTGTTGCCTCCCCGGGGGCTTGAGCAGCTGAGCATCCTTTTTTTTTTACCCTTAGAGGGGAAAAAGCTTGGTAATGCAGAAACAGGTGAAGATCCCAAATTAAATATGCTGAGCGTGCGTGGTTTGGCTTTTTTTTAGCATGTTCCCTGTCACGCTCAACTAACCTGCTCCATTGCCCAGCATTATCTCCACGATGTGCAGTTGCCAGGAAAGCCATCCAGGCAGCCTCACCTTCCACCTCCCCTGTGTAAGTCAGGGACATTAATTAGCCTGGCTGCTGAGGTGCTGGATGGGGCAGAGCCAGGCTGCCCATGCTGCTGGCTCCTCAGAACAGGGGCTTTTTGCCTCACTGGCACTTTTGATGTCATCACAGCTTGTGGTCCAGCCACCCTCTCCCCAGGGCTCCCATTCCCTCCTTGCTAACCTTCTTTTAACCTTCCTCCTTCCCTATCTTTTCCTTTTTTTGTTTTTTTTTTTTCCCCTCGTCAGAAGAAAATTACACTTTCCCAGTGTTGTCTGTCACTGCAATAAGCACTTAGGAGTGCAATTGTGTGGGGCCAAATGAAGGGAATTCGTTTTGCCCGTGCTTTCGGGGACTGTCAGACCCCCTGTAAATCATTATCTCATCACCAGCCCATCCAGGTGCATGGAAAATGCTTTTCTGGGCTCTGCCACTTAGGAATGAATGGAACTGAGGGATTCACAGCAGTTGTGGGCACAGAAGTAATGGATAGGAAAAATCCTGGCTGGAGATTGGGGACTGGCAGTGCTGAGGGTGCTGGAAAAGCTCAAGGATTTTGGGGAGAGAGGACCCAAAAGAGGGGCTGGGGGCAGGTGTTAGGATGGGGATTAACCCCAGAATGAGTTGGCTGAGGGATGCTGGTGTGGGCAGATGGTGGGGTGACCCCCCTTCTCCCCAAGTGTTCCCATATGGAAGAGTTTTTGCGCTCTGCCTGGGATGGACCACCTCCTTGGATGTCTGTGGGAATCTACAAAATTAGAGGGTTTTGGGAAAGCCTCTAATTTTGTCCCCCAGGAGTGGGTGCTGCTCGCTCTCTGGGCTTCTCTCCAGGCAGATTTCCACAGATTTGTTCCATTTTACCCAGCACAATTCCAATGCCCACGGAAAGGAAATCGCATTGCAGTACTGGAGAGGAAAATCAGCAGAATCAGTAGGTCTGGATCCTCCAGAGCACCCTTCAGCTGGCACCAAGCAGCAGGAGTGCACTTCTCAGCCTGGGAAAGTGTTTGGGGAGGAAAACTTAAATAATCCTGCCTGGTTTTCCTGCCTTTTGCTCTCTGTCAGCCCGTGGTGTGGCAGGGGAGCAGCACATGGGGTAATGCTGTGCTCAAGCTCCTGCTCTGCTGCCAAGGGTAATCAAGGCCAGGGATAAATCAGGAAGGTTTCAGGAACAGGCTGTGTTCCATGCCACTCCTAAAATACAGCCTTTTCCTGGTATCTGGACATAAAATGTGTCTTTGACCCTGCTTCCTCACAGACCTGTTGGTCTCTAAGTAATCCAGACAGGACTCAATTTAGAAAATATACTGGGGGAGAAAAAGGATATTTTGGGGATTGCATTCAGCTTTCCTCACCTAAAAATAAAATTTTCTGCTCCTTTTTCCTGCTGCCACTCATGCATATTTTATAAATTCATTAGAGCAAAGGCTTTGAAACACAAATAAATCTTGCTTTGCTCATCCAGAGCTGACACAGTGAGTTGTGAACACCTTCCCCAGAAGGTGCTGGTCATTTAGCCGTGACCAGCCTGCTCCAGCTCCAGCAGCTGCTGTGGAGTAGATGCATCCCACAGCATCCCAAGCCACTCCATCCGTGGGGATGCCGCAGATTGCACCCCCAGAAGGGCTGTCCTTGTGGAAAGCAAGACCAAAATCGCTATTCCTTGCTTTTCCAGATCTGTATTTTAACCTGGGGGGACATTCTGGAGTGCAATAGGTTTTTATTCCTCTACTCTTGTCGTGGTTTGACACCCACAAAAGCCCCTCAGTTACCTTCCCCTGCTACAGCTGGGCAGAGGAGAGAAAAATAAAATTAACAAAGGGCTCATGAGTTAAGGACTGGGAGAAAACACTCCAAGGGCAGGTACAAAGTGAGTTTATTATTAGCAAAATCACAGGAGGATAATAAGAAGCAAAATAAGCCCTTAAAAAACACCTTTTCTTCCCTCCTTCCCACTGACAGAGCAGGGACAGGGTGTGGGGGTTTGGGTCAGTCCATCACCAAAGGTTTTCTTCCGCTTGGCTCAGGGAGAGGAGTCCTTCCCCTATGAGATCATGGGGTCCCTACTATGGCAGAGGTGTGTCCAATGCTGCCTTTCCATAAATACCTTCATTTATGAATTGCAGTTTATGTTTTCCAGGCGACTGACAACGATGTGGGCTCATATGGGAAAGTCAGCTATTTCTTCAGCGATGACCCTGACCGGTGAGTGGGACTGACTGGCAGGACTTTGATCCTCCAAAATCCTCTTCTAACCCCACATTAAGGGCAATTAAAGGCACTGGTTATGTACTACCTGTGAAATGCCCAGTGTGTGCTATCTCCCAGAGGTGTGAGCTCAGCACATGCCTGATGCTCAGCATGTTTCATTGCTTTGCTGAGGTGGGACCTGCACTGCCTGAGACAGGTAAATGGTTTAGCAGTGAGTTGTCAGCCCTGGAGCAACAGCTGTGGTGGAAAGCTGGGGAGCACACATGGGCTGCCCAGCAGAACACATCTGGGGGCCTCTGCACCCCTTTTCTCTGCCTGTGGAGCAGCACTGAGGGCTGCTCACTGCTCAGCTGTGTGGAGCTCTTGGAGGTGCTCTGGGACCTAACATCCCACAGGAAAAAGTCATGAACTTCATGCTGTTAGACTGCTGCCTCTCCATCTTGTGGGAATCTATAAAATTAGAGGGTTTTGGGAAAGCTGCAAAATGCAGGCCCCAGACACAGCAGAACAGTGAATAGGGCTAAGCAGCAGCTATGAGATTGGTCAGCAGAAAAATTATTTAAACTGTAGAAAAGCAAGGACAAATACAACAATGGTCTGTGTATTAACGCTTGTCTAGAATAGCTCTCTAAGCTACAGAAAAGTTTATCTAGCAAGATATTAGAAAGTTCTTAGCTTAATAATGGTGCTCTGTGCATTGTGTTTTAAGGCTTACAAGCAGGTATTGTATTTGAAATAAGCAAGCATTGTTTTAACCAAAGGTACGTGTGTTTATGGTGATTGGATAGAACTACTGTCAATGTGCTTTTGCTTTGTGTGATTGGTCAAAAAACTTTTAAAGTGAGTTGTAACATTAAGTTCTGTGTCTGCTGCCTGGGATGTGAGCTGGTGGCATCTTCCCATTGTCATAACCATGTAATGAGGCTGATGCTGGAAAATCAAACAGCTCAAGGCACGCTCCCAGCAGTCCCAGCCCGTTAGTGGTCTGTAAATAGCCCCCTGCCGGCTATACACCTCTCCAGTGTGTGGTCACCAAGGCTTTTTGCCCTTCCTTTGCTGTCCCCCAGCTTCTCCCTGGACAAGGACACGGGTGTGATCGTGCTGACGGCCCGGCTGGACTTTGAGAGCACGCAGCGCTACACGCTGACCGTCATCGCGCGCGACGGCGGCGGCGAGGAGACCACGGGCCGTGTCAGGATCAACGTCCTGGACGTCAACGACAACGTGCCCACCTTCCAGAAGGAGGCCTACCTGGGCGCCCTGCGGGAGAACGAGCCCTCTGTCAGCCAGGTGGTCCGGCTCCGGGTGAGGCACTGCCCTGGCTCCTGTGCTTGAGACGGGCAGCAGGGACACAGGAGTGGGTTAGAATCACAGCATGGTTTGGGTAGCAGGGTAGCTTAGAGCCCAAACAGTTCCAACCCCCTGCCATGGCCAGGAGCATCTTACACTGCACCAGGTAGCTCCAAGTCCCATTCAGCCTGGCCTTGGACACTTCCAGGGATGGGGCAGCCACATCGTCTCTGTGCCAAGGCCTCACCACCCTCACAGGGGAGAATTTTTACCTGATATCTAATCTAAACCTCCCTCTGTCAGTTTAAAATGATCAATGCCCGTGATGGCTTTAACAGACACCTTCCAAAGCAGGTCCCCACAACCAGTTTCCTTCTTGCATGAGAGAAGCAGGTGAGAGGAGGCTGGTTTACAGATCCCCTCAGGGCCCCTGATGGGCACAGCTGCCTCCATCACATTTCCATCCTGCGCCTCCCATCCCCTCATCTCTCCCTGGCACAGCTCCCATGTATTCCCATGTGTTCCCTCTGCTCACACCCTAGGCATCTGATGAGGACTCCCCTCCAAACAACCAGATCTCCTACAGCATCGTGCATGCGTCCGCCTTCCGCGAGTACTTCGACATCACGGTGTCGGAAGGGTACGGAGGTAGGTGCTGGTCCTGGCACCCCAGGGGCACCCTGAGCCTCCCCATCCTGCTGCCCTGACCCCCCCACTGTGCATCCCTGCAGTGATCAGCGTGAACCACCCGCTGGACTACGAGCAGCTGGCCAACGGGGTCATCTACCTGACAGTGATGGCCAAGGACGCCGGCAACCCGCCGCTCAACAGCACCGTGCCCGTCACCATCGAGGTGTTTGTAAGTGCATCTCCCTCGTGCTCTCCCTGCTATTGCTCCACAGCAGTGCTGTTGACTCATCAATAACCCATCGAGGCTGCCCCACCCCGTGGAGGATGTGTGCATTCCTGTTACACGTGTCTCATGCCACAGCTTACCACGGGGTGGAAATCCTCTGGAGGAGGCGTTTCTGCTGGAAGACTCCAAGCACAGCAGCGTTCCTCGGGAAGATCAGATCAGATCAGCATGTCACTTTGAGGCACATTGTGGTTTGAGGGTGTCTGCAGGGAGGTGTCAGTGATGGAGACAGTTTGGTTGATAACGTGTCAGTCTCGCAGCTGTGGGAGCTCTGCCAGGCAGCGTCACTCTGGGGAGGGGAAGGAGATAAAGCCAGCGATGCTGTAAGATGGGAATGAAGTCCCATGAGCGTGTCTCTCCTTCAGATCCCTCACCGTGCTTGAGAGAGGGGGAACGAGGCAGAGCCCAGGGAGTTAGTGGTGGTTAAATACATCCTTCCCACACTGGGCTCTCGACAGCATAAACACCTCTTTTTCAAGACCACACTTCAGTGGGTCATCTCCCCAGGTTGGGCCTGTACGCTGGCAGGGTTTAAGCAGCTGTCACTTTTCCCGCTCTCCACCAAAGGGAATTTCTCTCAGCTGGAAAAAGAAAAGAAATAAAAGCCGAAAACTAGGAAGAAAATGAGGGGGAAGTGTTTTGTGACGGCACTTGAGGAACAAGAGCTGAGAGAAGGCAGAACCAGAGCGAGTGGGGAGGGAGGCGATTTTTTTTCATCCTTTGGTTGTTGGTTTTTAATAAAGAAGTCAAACTCGCCTTGTAGATTTCCCATTAGGGGACAATACGCTTTTGTAGAGGAGCCGCCGAGTCAGAACTAATAGCGCGCGCGGCGCCAGGATCCCAGGAAATGGCGCTGCTAATAAGTTTCTGCCTCACTCCCTGCCACTGACACCCTCCTCAGGGTGATGAGCCAGCGCTCATGGCGTGCCTGTGCCTGCAGGAGAGGGGTTGAGTGCCTGCGGTGAGCATCAGCCACTCTCAGCATCCTTGGAGATGGCCTGGAGTGATGGGACAAGGGGGATCAGCTTCACACTGGAGCAGAGGAGAGGTTTGGGTTGGATATTGGGAGGAAATTCTTCCCTGTGAGAGTGGTGAGGCCCTGGCACAGAGGAGCTGTGGCTGTCTGGTCCCTGGCAGTGCCCAAGGCCAGGCTGGATGGGGCTGGGAGCAACCTGGGACAGTGGAAGGTGTCCCTGCCATGGCAGGGGGTGGGAACTGAGCTTTAGTCTGAGCTTTAGTGTCCCTTTCAACCCAATGCATTCTCAGATGCTATGATACAGTGGCTGTCTGAGGGTGAGGTTGTAGGGAGGATCAAGAGAACACAGAAGCTGGTTTTGGCTGGTTGGGTGGATATTGTCCTCTGTGGGAGTTGGAAGAGTGCTGGGTTCTGTCTGCTGTCGCTGCAGGCGCCTTGGGGAGCTGTGCAGCTCCTGTGGCTGAAGTGGGAAATGTCCTTGTCCAGCAGAAGGCAGGTGCAGGCCGGCTCTGGCCAGATGGAGAGCCAGCCAGAAGCAAACCCTGCCTCCTTGGGACTGGGCTTGCCGGGCCGTGGCCTTGCTGAGCACGGCCTGATGATCTCAGGAACATTAATGACACGACACAGCATCTGCTCTGGCTCCTGTCCACCCAGCTGGAGCCCCAGCTCAGCCCCATCCAGCTGCGCTCAGCCTCTCCACTGCCTTTAACCTGCCCAGACCTCCTGGATGAGCCCCACTGATCCCTGGAAAGAGGAGGAGGGATGGTGAGGACATCACCAGGACAGGCAACAAGCTCCTCATTACCCTCAGAGGAGGCGCCAGCAAAGCTGAGTGACTCAAAGGCTGATTAAAGACCACCTGCTTGCAGACACTAAAGCAGGGGTTGGCAATTTAATTGCAGCACGATGGGCATCGTTGGCACGTGAAATTGCTTCAAATCTCAGGTTGGGTGGCAGCAGGAGCAGCTGAACCTGCAGGTCCATCCGTGGTCTCCAGGTAGAAATCAGTCTCCAGGGCAGCTCCAAGGAAGTGGAGAGGTCCAAACAGTGTCTTAATGTCCTGGCCTCACCTTGAGATGCAGGCACCCAGGAGCATCCCCACGCCAGGCTCTTGCAGCTGCTTGACCATTTTGCCTTTTTCCCAACCAGCCTCTCGACCTTCTCTTTGCTTCAGGATGAAAACGACAATCCCCCCACGTTCAGCAAGCCCTCCTACGTGATAACCGTCATGGAGGACATTATGGCAGGTACAGGGCACGCCCCTGCTCCTTCTCTGGGCTCCCAGGAGGGCTCTGAATGGGGCGGGTGATGCCTTTTGGGGAGGCAAAGTCTCACAGCTGTGGGGCCTGGGGGTTTGGCTGCTTTGTGCACGTGCAGGAGAAGGGACCTCTTGTCTGGGTGGCTTGCAGGAGCAGTGTGGGGCAGTTCTGGCTCATGGCAGCCCCCATTTCTGCCTCCCCCAGGAGCCACAGTGCTGTTTCTCAATGCCACGGACATGGACCGGTCCCGGGAGTACGGGCAGGAGTCAATCATCTACTCCCTGGAGGGCTCCTCGCATTTCCGCATCAACGCTCGCTCAGGTGAGCGCTGCACCTGCTCTGCCCTTTCCTCTCAGTTCCCTCTTTCACCCCCACCTGTCACAGATATCTTCTATGAAAAATCCTTTCCTTGGGATTTTTCCTCCTGAGAAGCTGACAGGCCTCAGGAACAGAATGCAAACAATGGTTATCTGCTGCTGTGGAATGCAACAGGTGCATCTGTGATTGGTCTCATGTGGTTGTTTCTAATTAATGGCCAATCATAGTCACCTGTCTCAAACTCTCTGTCTGACATACAAGCCTTTGTTATCATTCTTCCTTTTTCTATTCTTAGCTAGCCTTCTGATGAAATCCTTTCTTCTATTCTTTTAGTATAGTTTTAATACAATATATATCATAAAATAATAAATCAGCCTTCTGAAACATGGAGTCAGATCCTCGTCTCTTCCCTCATCCTCAGACCCCTGTGAGCACTGTCACACCCACCCTTCCCTCCTCTCCCTCAGTCAGCCTGCTTAGGAGTCCCACAATTTGAGGGATTCACCAAATTTCAGGCACCACCATTTGCTCAGTCACCCTGAGAGCTTCAGCAGAGGCATCGTGGAAACTCAGCTCCTCAGCCTGAGGAAAGGCTTGGCTGGGAAGGTTCCTGTTAATTCAGGAGCTGCCTGATCCAAAAAAGGGCCCATTTGTGGACTGTCCTGACCTTGGTTTTAACTGTTTCTCCTTTAACCTTGTCATCTCCTGTGGCTGCAGGGGAAATCACCACAACCTCTCTGCTGGACCGGGAGGCCAAATCCGAGTACATCCTCATTGTGCGGGCAGTGGATGGAGGCGTGGGGCACCACCAGAAGACAGGCATTGCTATGGTGAGTGGGGGAAGAATTCCCATCTCCCTGAGGCGCTGGTGCCCACCTGGGGCTGCGGAGAGCTGCAGTGTTTTATTTGTGCTGTGTGAAGAGCACACAATGGTTCCTGCCCTCCGCGCCACCCCTGCTGCGGCTCCCAAAACGACTGTCCAAGTGGTGCAGACCTTGAAATCAGCTTGCTTTCCTGGAAAACCACTCACACAGGAGGCACTTGACTTCCCAGAGCCTGTGGATGTGGTAATGAGTCCTATTTCACCTGCAGAACTCTCCCTTTGTTCGGCTCCCTTTGTTCCTCTCCAGAAGGGGCTCACTCGGAAAGCCTGCAGCTACACGCGATTATTCCTCGGTCTGTTCACGTGGCTCCAGGGTTTCCAGCCAGTCTGGAATGCCTGTGCTCCTGGGAAGGTCCTGGTGGAGCTGCACATTGCAGCCTTGTGCTGTGCCTTGCCCTTCTCAGGCCTCAGAGAACCCCATTGTTGGCCAAGCCAACGGGAAATACCAGGACATCAAAAGCCAAGGATCCAGCCTTGATGACCTTAAAGCTCTTTTCCAGCCTTAGCTATTCCATGATTCTCTCTCTCACTGCTCATGGCATCACATTTCTTTGGACATTTGGATGCTCCTGCTCGTTTGGGTTGCAGGAATGATATCCCACACAACACAGGGGAATGCAGAAACATTTGTGGCTGTGCTGAGGAACAGCCCTACAATAATTGTCCATCAGGAGGTCTGTGGCAGCAGGCTGGAAGCTCCCTATGGAACCTCCCAGAGACATGTGGTGGCCTTGGCTGGGCACCAGCGCTGAGTGTGGAGTGCTGATCTCTCCTCTGGGGCTCCAGATGGGATTGTGTTCTCCTAACAGACTTGTTAAAAGGCAAAACAAGGGAGGGAAAGGTGCCTAAAAACTAAAGGAATATTAAAACTCAGTGAGACTAGGGCAGCAGAGTAAATTTTCTGCTGGGATATACACCTAGCACACAAAATGGTAATTTTTGACCAGGAATAAAGGTCCATTCAGGGGCCTTGCAATGTCCCCAGGTGATGTAAAGCACACGAGCTGCCCGGAGCAAGATGGATCAGGAATCTTCCCCGTGGGTAAAGGAACCACCGTGGTGCTTTGGCTTGTCCCTGGAGACTGTGGTGTCCAGAGCGGCCTCTTCTGCCACGGGGTGGCACCAGCAGCTCAGCCTGGTGTGACAGCGGGACACAGAGGAGTGGGAGCAGAGGGGATGGCAGGGAAAGCTCCACCAGGAGCTGCTGAGGGATGGGTGCTGCCCTGGAGCTGCAGCCCTTTCCCTCAGACGCCTGGGTAGAAATGGGTGCTGTGAGGAGGTGAGAGACCCCCAGGCAGCCAGATGCATCCCACAGGCTCGCTGCTGTCACTGGGATGCCATTTGTCACAGGGAAAATGAAGACAGGCAACACTTCAGGGCACCATCCTCACCCCTGCTCTTGTCTTCGCACCTCCCACCCCCTGTGTACTGTACCCTCTCCTGATCTCTCATTTATTCTGGGTTTTTTTCTGTTGCTTTTTACCAGTCACTCAGATTTTTCCTTCCTTTCCTGCCACATTCCCACTGCATCCTCTCTCCCACTGATTTTCATCCCCCTTCCAGTGAAGGAGCTGTTTGAAGACACACCTTGTGCCCTGTTGTTGTTTTAACCATGATAAATATAAACAAAACTCTGTTCACCTATGCCAAAGGGCTGCAAAATTGCAGGATGTTGATTTTTTTTTGCAGGTTTTCCCTCCAGAGGGTGAACACAGCATCACAAAATCATAGAGTAATTCAGGAAAAAGGTCTCTAAGAGGGTCAGGTCCAGCCTGCACTAACCCATGTCCCCAAGTGCCTGAAGGATGGTGGCCCTGCCACAGCCTGAAACACGTGTTGGGCACATCCAGGGGACATTCCATGCCTCAGGAACCTGTGCCTCCTGCAGCAGCTGTGCTTCCTTGCTCTCCCACAGGTGAACATCACACTGCTGGACATCAATGACAACTACCCCACGTGGAAGGATGAGCCATACTTCATCAACCTGGTGGAAATGACGCCCCCCAACTCGGATGTCACCACGGTACGTGTCAATGGGTTGGTTTGGAGACACATCCAAACCAGTGTCACCAGTGTCACCTTCAGTCCAGCACCATCTTTAATTCCATTTAAAACCTTACTCCTGAGCCTCCTCCCCGCTGCTGACCATCCCCTGTGTTTCTTCTCCCTCCCCTGGGACATTTTTTTTTCTCTCCCTCTCCAAATTGTGTGGATTTTGGCCAAATCCTCCTTTTCTTAGCCTCACCTGCGACCTCCTTCAAGGACCTCTCTGAGAGACTTTGATTTACAGCCTTTCAAGTCCCTCTGGCGAAATAAAGGAGGAGAAGAGGGGGAGGCTTCTATTCCATCACGCCGAGAGAAAAATGACGGGAACAAAATGGAAAATAAATGAGGGAAAAGTGAAGAGAATCCACAAAATCATATAAGGAGGAAGACTGAGAAAAGGAAAAAAAAAAAACACGAGGATTTTTTTGAAGGGGGAGAAGAGTCTGGCAGTGCTGCTCGAGCCAGAGCACAGTGGTTTTCTCTCCTTCAGCCCTTCTGCTCAGTGCCAGCTTGAAGTCATCTTGCCTTTGACAACCCAATTAGTTGCTGGGAAAATAATTATTTTGTCACCGATCCGATGTAAATTCAGCTGCAGGACGAGCAGCAGGAGCCGGGGAAGTTATGAGGGCAGTGAAATTGGGGTGTTTGTTAATGTAAATGTCCCCTGTAATTAGAAAGGTCACAGGGAGAGCAATAAAGCATAAAATATCTGGGGTGGAGGAGAACTCCACCAAGGAATTATTCCTGATGTGGCAGCACAAGTTCCTCAGCGTGCCTCTTTGTCCCATTTATTTTATTTTTCCAAAGGGTCCTCGTTTTTTGGCTTGTTTTATTCCAAAGGAGGAAAAATCCAGTTTGATTGCTGCGCTTTTGTATCTTGTCATGCCATTACCTCCTGTGCTCACAGGCCAATTTTGGGGAGATTTAACACCACAGCAGAGGTCTCGAGGGTGCAAAATCCCTGCAAATGTCACAAAAACACAGAGCTGGATGGAGGATGAGTTCCTTTGTGCTGCTGATGCAGGGACAGCAGCAAATCTCCGTGGGGACTCCCAATGGGAGTGAATTCCCAGCGCTCTCCTGTAATTTTGTGCTGTTCCCCCACGGCAGGTGGTGGCTGTGGACCCGGACCTGGGGGAGAACGGCACGGTGGTGTACAGTATCCGGCCTCCCAACAAGTTCTACACCATCAACAGCACCACGGGCAAGATCCGCACCTCGGGCGTACTGCTGGACAGGGAGAACCCCAACGCCCAGGAGGCGCAGCTGATGCGCAGGATCGTGGTGTCTGTCACCGACTGTAAGCCTCCATCCCACCCTGGGTGTGCTCACTGCTCAGCTGAACCTGCCTGGCTTGGTTTGGAAAGGCAGGAGTCTGCTAAGGAAGGCAGGAGCCTCCCCTGAAATGGAGAATGTGAACCCTCCCCACCCCTCCCAATTGCTATGAATTTTAAATTAAGGGGCTCTCAGGCAAAAAATATGGGAGCAGGAAATAACAGTTCTTTAACAGGGAAAAAATATAAAAGGATAAAATAAACAATGCAGTACACTAGAACAACACGGACAGAGTCAGAACCCAACCTGACACCCTGTGGGTCAGGCTGTTGGTGGCAGTCCCATTGGAAATGTGGCTGCAGCCTTCCTGCAGTGTCAGGGGTGGTTCTGTTGGAGCAGGGGGATCCTGTAGAAAGGTGTAGTCTCTTCCTCTGAAGATCCAGTGGAAGAAGAGACAGCTGCTGTTCCTCTGGGGAATCCCATGGAGAAAGCTGTGCTGGTGTCTCAAAACCTCTGGATTATATCTGGGTAGCAATGCTTGGCTCCTCCCTCTGGATTATATCTGGGTAGCAATGCTTGGCTCCTCCCCCTGGGCGGAGCATCTCCCAATGGGATGTTATAGTTCTTATCAGCCATGCAGTGACATTCAATAGCCTGTTATCAGCAATGTCCCCTCCTGAGGGAGGTGTGAATGTGGTCACTCAAAGAGAGAGATAAGGCAAACTGCCCACTTGACAAAGGTAATCTGCCATACAGATGGTAATGGAAAACGTCTTGCATTGCAATCTTCAACACTTCCCCAGCCTGATTTTGCCCTTATGGCAAAGTCTCTTCTGTTTTCCTCTCTCCTGCTTTGAGCGGGAGTGTTTCTGAGGTGAAAAAAAATGGGAGTAGCTTTAAGCCTGCTGCTAAAACAAGCTCAGAATGCAGTCATTCATGTAGCAGCCCTGAGAAAGAGCCTGAGAGGCAGGAACTCTCCCTCCCCCTCAGCCCTGCTCCATTGGCATCCCAGAAAATCAATTGAGCAGGTGAGGGAAGCAGAGCTGATGGGTTTTTCTCTGGAAATATTGCCATAGGGAAACTTTTCTTAGGAAGAAAGATAGATATACAAAGATAATCCTTTCTTTTCAGGACAAAGGGGAATGGTTTTAAACCAAAAGAGGGGAGATGGAGATTAGATGTTGGGAGGAAATTCTTTACTAAGAAGGTGGTGGAACAGGCTGCCCAGAGAAGCTGTGTCTGCTCTAACCCTGAAAGTGTCCCAGGACAGATTGGAAGGGGCTTGGGACAACCTGGGATAGTGGAAGGTGTCCCAGAGTGTTGGAGTTGGATTATCTGTAAGGTCCCTTCCAACCCAAACCATTCTGGAATTCAGGGCCATCCCCCCCATCCTGCACTGCTGTCTGCATAGTGAGTGAAAGCTTACTTTTAGGGGAACGGGTTGGAAGCAGCTCAAGCGTTAACCTTGAGACCCCATTCCTGGCCTCCACAGGTGGGAGGCCACCCCTGAGGGCCACCAGCAGTGCCACAGTTTTTGTCAACCTGCTGGACCTGAACGACAATGACCCCACTTTCCAAAATCTGCCCTTTGTTGCTGAGATCGCCGAGGGGCTCCCCGCAGGCTCCTCTGTCTTCCAGGTGAGCGTGTCCCACTGCTGCCATTCCCCACCTGGGAGCTTGTCAAAGCAGGCTGGTAATGCATCCTCTCCCTTCTCTGCATCTTCTCCATCTCCTCTGTCCTCTCCATCTCCTTCTCTTTGCCATATTCTAACAGTGGAACAGGGGGGGTTGCAGAAGGTGAGCATGTCCAGGTGAGCATGTCCCACTGCTGCCATTCCTCATGCTGGGAGCTGCTGCCATGGCTTCTGCAGGCTGGCAATGCATCCTCTCCCTTCTCTGCACCTTCTCCATCTCCTCCATGCTCTCCATCTCCTTCTCTTTGCCATATTCTAGCAGTGGAACAGGGGGGATGCAGAAGTGGTTGCGCATCTTTATTCCATGGGCTCACTCAGGGTAGGAAGGATCCTCCAAGGCCATTTCATCCCTGCATTCCCAGGGCCAAAGGCACTTGGGATTTCTGGACCATGGCTTCCATGGCCAGGAAATGATGATCAGGGTGCTCTCCTGTAGGAATGTACCCCCTGTTGATGGAGTGACAAAAGGAAACAAGCCTAGAAGTTTCTCTCCTTGGTTAAATGAAACAACACCTCATAGGACCTGGGGAGCTTCACTCAAACTTAAGGATGGCCAGTTGGACAGAAGCCAAAAAGTCCCACCTAAGCAATTTACTAGAAAAGAAGAGAACAAAGAAACCAATCACTTTTGTGAGGTGTTTTACCAAGAGCAAGAACCTCTTGCACCCAAATCACTTTTTCTCTGTATGAGTTTGTTGTTTTGTTTTTTATTAAACCTTTTTGTTTCCAACACTGCCACAGAAGCCATCCTACTGATTTTATGCCTTCTGAGGTAGCTGAGCTATCTTGGGTGTGAAATAGACCTCCAAGAGCTTATAAGAAAATCCTGTTCCCCTGTCCCCACCAGGTGGTGGCCATCGACCTGGACGAGGGCCCCAATGGGCAGGTGTCGTACCGCATGCAGGTGGGCATGCCCCGCATGGATTTCCTCATCAACAGCACCAGCGGGCTGGTCACCTCCACGGCCGTGCTGGACAGGGAGAGGATCCCCGAGTACCTGCTCAGGGTGGTGGCCAGCGACGCCGGCACGCCCGCCAAGAGCTCCACCAGCACCCTCACTGTCAAAGGTGGGTGCAGCGAGAGCCCGCGGTGGTGGCAAACGTCCCTGGGGGAAATGCAGGTTCTGAGGCCCATGTGTGAAAAACGCCAATCACTTGGGGTTTTTTTCTTAAATTTTAAAAGTTTTATGATAATAAAATGGTTATAAAAATAGCAATATAATTAAAGTAATAATAATTTGGACAATTGAGATGAGGACAATATCAGACAATAAAAACAAAGAGTTACGGACAGTCCAGGTACCTTTTCTGGGCAAAATAAGTCCGAAAAAGGACACCCGTTAACAGAGGATTAACCCTTAAAAGCAACAGCCTGTTGCATATTCCTACACCTCATCCATGATGCATAAATTCCATTCAAACACAGGATTCTGTCTGGGCAGTGTCAGCTTCTTCCTCTTAATCCTGACAGCATCTTCATAGCTGAGCAAGGTGGGAAGAAGTTTATTTCTCCTGATAATGAAGCAATAAATTCTCTTTCTGTGAAAGATTCATGTGTCCTGTGGCTGCTGTCTCAATGTGGGTACCTCATTCCTTTCTTTAAAAAAATATCCCACATACAAAGTTCCTATTTTAACTACAAAAGTTCCCTTTTAACTACAAACCTACATTTGCTATACTATTAAAATGTTAATACAGCACTACTAATCAATACAACAAAATACATATACTAAATATGTATTTGTATATATATATATATATATATATATATATATATATATATATATGTATATATATGCATACAGCCATATAATATGCAATTTTCACAGCCTGGAAACAGGGTCAGGTCTGGCTTATCTCCCTGCATAGGGATGGCTCCATCCCCACAGGCTCCATGTCTGCTATCAACACACTGCAGAGATGGGGAAAACATGATGGTTTTGGCAGGGCCCCCAAATTATCTTTTGTTTTCTCCATTCCCCCATCTCCAGTGTTGCTTTTTTCTTTTGGTTCAGCATGTGATTCCCATCAGCTGCGTGCCTGGACAGCCCACGCAATCCCAGTTAAGAGCTGGAGCCTTATTGCAAGGCCTGCCTTTAATTTAGTGCCTTGCTGTTTGCTGGCTCTGTGCAAGCCTAGTGCTGAAAAAGGATAAGCATCATCTGGAAATAAACTGACCCTGCACTGTCCTCAGGCCTGAGTTTGGGAAAGAAGCTCCAGGTCTCTGCCATGCCCCAGGAAATACTGAGCTTATATTTAAGCCCCAGATTTTCCTTTGAACGGGGATGGAAACGGGCTTGGTGAAAATAGTGACTTGAATTTCAGTGATGCAATGGTTTCTTTGGCTGTGAGGAGGGTGATCTGTGTGTATCAGGGGCCACCAAATAGAGCCCACAGCCACTCTGCAGGCACCCCAGTGCCCCAATGGCAGGGAGGGTCAGGCAGAGCATCCCTGGGATGCTGACAGGAGGTTTGGGAGCCCAGCCTGGCAGCTGCAGCAGGGGCAGCACACTCAGCTCTGCTCTCCCTTTGCAGTTCTGGATGTGAATGACGAGAACCCCACCTTCTACCCTGCTGTCTACAACGTGTCCCTGCCCGAGGACGTGGCCCGCGATTTCAAAGTGGTGCGGCTCAACTGCACGGACGCCGACATCGGGCTCAACGCTGAGCTCAGCTACTTCATCACAGGTGGGAGCCCCGTGCCACGAGGGGAACAGGCCTTGCAGAAGGCACAGGCTGCCCCAGACCTCGGCCAGGGTGTTCTGCACTCCGGCTCTGCCTTTGCCAGCCCCTCAATCCTTGTCCGGCATCGCCCTCTGCTGAGCAGCCCCGCTCGGCTCCCGGCCACGCTGACCGCCCTGCTGACCCTGGAAAAGCATCAGCATGGGCAGGACACGGCTAGGGAGCAAGGCCTGGGGGGGCTTCCATCAGTGTTTATGGCTGGGAGGTGTAAATGGGATTTTGGGGCATTTTTGGGCGGGTGGGGATGGTGGGCAGCAGTGCCCGGCTCGCCCCACGGGTGCAGCACCTGCAGCAGGAGGCTGGGGAATCCCCTGGCCATGGTTTGACTTGCAAACTGCACACTGAGCCCTCAGGAAGAGGGCAAAAACAGAAGTGCCACCAGAGAGCGACTTTTCCCACAGTAGCAGCCTGCTGATCCATGTCCCAGCCCCTCTGGCCTCTCCTCTGCAGGTGAATCGGGGTGTGCTGTCCCTCAGGTACCACAGCTCACGTGCACAGTTACCCCAATTGCCTCAAAGCTTTCAGGAAATGACACAGCTTTCCCTACAGCCCTTGGATTGTTCCTGTGCTGTGAGGCAAAGTTCTCTGCCAGGGATAAGGTACCAAACTATCCTTGCACAGCTGGACTGACCCCATGCCCAGGCCACAGAACCCAAGGAAATGGCCTCACGTTGCACCAGGGAAGGTTCAGATTAGATATTGGGAGAAATTTCTTCACTGAAAGGGTAGCCAGGCATTGGGACAGGCTGTCCAAGGAAGTAGTGGATGCTTCTGGATCCCTGGAGGTGTTAAAGCTCAGGTTGGACAGGGCTTGGAGCAGCCTGGTCCAGGAGGTGTCCCTGCCCACGGTGACGTGTTGGAACAAAATTATCTCTAAGGTCCCTCCCAACCCAGCCCATTCCAAGTTTCCGTTCTGCTTGTCCTTTGCTCCAGGTCCCTCTCAGCCCAACCCAGCCCATTCCAAGTTTCTGTTCTGCTTGTGCTTTGCTCCAGGTGGGAACCAGGATGGCAAATTCAGCGTCGGCTTCAGGGACGGGGTGGTGAGGACGGTCGTGAGTCTGGACAGGGAGACCGTGGCATCCTACACACTGATCCTGGAGGCCATTGGTAAGGATTTCCCAGGGATCCCACTGCCACACAGCCACAGGTGGTGGCCATGCATGTGTGGAGCTCCCTTGCAGGTGTGTCAGAGGGGCAGCAACCTCTGAGGAGCTCTCCAAACCAGAGCTGTGCCTGGTGCTAACATTGCACATGTGAATCAATGTGTCCCACTTCCATCATGACTTTTGCAGAGGGTCTATTCTCCTCTCAGGTTTGCCCAGCCCCAGGGCTCTCCCTTTCACCTGGGAAGGCAGGCCCTCCATTCCTGAGAGGCTCCACACTGTCCAGGGCATCCCTCTACCCAAAAATGCCAACTCCACAGCATCATTCCCCTCCTGCCATGCCAGGCCTTGGCTCTGGGGCTGCTGATTAACCCTGAGCCACCTGGCACAGGCAGAGGGTCCCCGTGCCAAACTCAGCTTGGCTGTCATCCCCAGAGCTTTATAATGATGTGCCTGTTCACAGATGACTTGGATGTCCCTTTGGAGAGGAGGAGTGGCCTGGGCAGAAATGTTGGGGGTACAGCATTGCAGGGGCTGCAGCAGGGATGCTGCACTGCCTGGGCACACAGGACTGGATCCCAAGGGGCAGAGGGTCTGCTGTGGCCCTCCCATGGGGATCACACTGCTTGTGCTTTCCCAGATCCCACAGGCTCCCAGCTGGGTGGGTTTAGCACTCCTACAAATCAGGCATGCTGAAAAATCCAACCCCAATCCATGCTGCCCCGTGCCTCATTCTTCCTGGCAAGCCCAAGAGCTGTGCTGCCATGTCCTTGTCTACTGAACATCAACCCATCCTGGTGCTCCTTGACTGTGAGCTGAGCTGCAGCTGTGGAAAATTCACCAGGCTGCCCCCACCTCCCAAATCCCTGGCTCCACAGTCCCTTCACTTGGTACATGGAGCTGCAAATCCTCTCTAATGATCAGTTGCATTTCTGGCCTCACTGGGCTCCACGGCAGAGCTTGGGGGTGGCTTGGCTTTTCCTTTTTCTTGCAGAACAGCATGGTGGTTTTGCAAAATAGAAAGGGGGAGGAAAAAAAAACCCTAAAAACCCATGTGGGATTTAAAAGCTGCGAAAACATGAAATGTTTTAGTTTAGAAATCCCGATCCTGTTATTTCAGCAGCCATGGGCTGAGCACCTCCTGTGCAAGGAGGAGGTGGCTGAACCTCCCTCCCTCCCTCCCTCCTTGTCTTTGTGTCCCTGCAGACAACGGCCCCGCCGGGAACCGGCGCACCGGCACCGCCACCGTGTACGTGACCGTGCTGGATGTCAACGACAACAGGCCCATCTTCCTGCAGAGCAGCTATGAAGTCAGCGTCCCCGAGGACATCCCAGCGGCCAGCAGCATCGTGCAGGCACGTGGCTCTTCCCCTGGGACCCTGGGCTGGGAGCTGGGGGTCCCCCACTCACTGTGCCCCGCTGGAAGCACAGGGCAGGGGTTTTCCCTCCCTGTCTGTTCCCTCGGGCAGGGCGAGGTGTGTTCTGGCTCATCCACTCCTCTGCCAGCCCAGGCTGGGAGTGCCAGGGAGAAGGCAGCAAAGAACAAGGGGAAATTGAGGAACTCACCCCATTTCTGCAGGGGGTGAGAGGAGAAGAGCCAAGCCCTGTGCTGGCGAGGCCACTTTGGCTACCCCTCTGCTTTCTCCTTCCTCCCAAGCAGAGATCTCCATGGGGAGGGAGCAGAGTGCCTGCAAAGAGATGCTCAGAGAGGGGGGAAAGCCCCTCAGAGAGGGAAAGAAGCATTTGGACTTTGCTTTCATGTTTGTGGCTCTTTGAGGGAGCGGTGGCAGAGCTGAATGGCTCAGTGAGCACGGGATGAATGCGGGCATTCACAGCATCCCTTCAAAGCCGTGGCTCTTCTGGAGCAGGCACCAAAGGCTCTTTGCAGAGGGCCCTGGGAAGGCTCCTGCTGCCTTCAATACCTCTGCAGGCATGGGCAAAGGGACAGCTTTGTCCCTGGCTGTGTGAGTCACCGGCAGAGAAGAAAGGAGCCTTTTGCCTCCTGCCACAAAAGGTTTGCTGGGAGCCCTGTGTCTGCTCCAGGCAGCAATGCCCAAGGGATCCTATGGCTCCTCAGCACCTGGTGTGCCATGGCAAGGTGTACCTGGTGCTCTGGGATCAGCAATCCCAGGATGGAGGTGTGTCCCGGCACAGGAACCCTGAAACTGAGCCGGTTTGGCAAATTGGAAGAAGGGAGGGAACTCGAGTCTGACTGGCAGCAAAGTGCCTGTTCTTAGAACCCGCCTCCCAAAAGAGGGGGATGCCCTTGGAAGTCCATGGCAAAAGAGAGGAAGTAACTGGGGGAAGTTGTTTTTCCACAGAACAACATGGAGGAGAAACAGAAATGAGCCATCTCCCAGCTTCAGCTTAATTTGCACCTTGAGCATGAGCCATTTGTACAGAAGGTCTCTGCCTTCAGTGCATCCCCACATCCCCAGTGCAGCAGGAGGGAGTTTCTGAATGTTTCCCCATCCCTTTCTCCCAGAACCAGGCAGAGCAGGGCAAGAGAGGAGAAATGGGAATGCATTGAAGACAGCAACCCAGAGCTCACTCAGCACAGAGGGGGGTGACAGGAACCAGGCAGCCTCCCTCCACCTGCTCCAGAGGATAAGTCCACTGAGAATTGCTTTCTGTGGAGCAGGCTTGCCCTGGGCTGCCTCTCTTCATGTAGCCACGTTGCTCCCAGTCTCTTCCAGGCTGTTTGTTCAGGTGCAGCACAACTTGCACAATTGTCTGGGTTTGGAAAGGCAGGAGTCTGCTAAGGAAGGCAGGAGCCTCCCCTGAAATGGAGAATGTGAACCCTCCCCACCCCTCCCAATTGCTATGAATTTTAAATTAAGGGGCTCTCAGGCAAAAATATGGGAGCAGGAAATAACAATCCTTTAATAGGGAAAAAGAAAAAAAATAAAGGATAAAATAAACAATGCAGTACACTAGAACAACACGGACAGAGTCAGAACCCAACCTGACACCCTGTGGGTCAGGCTGTTGGTGGCAGTCCCATTGGAAATGTGGCTGCAGCCCTCCTGCAGTGTCAGGGGTGGTTCTGCTGGAGCAAGGGGATCCTGTGGAGAAGGATGTATTCTTCCTCTGAAGATCCAGTGGAAGGAGAGACAGCTGCTGTTCCTCAGGGAAATCCCATGGAGAAAGACGTGCCGGTGTCTCAAAACCTCTGGATTATATCTGGGTAGCAATGCTTGGCTCCTCCCCCTGGGCGGAGCATCTCCCAATGGGATGTTACAGTTCTTATCAGCCATGCAGTGACATTCAATAGTCTGTTATCAGCAATGTCCCCTCCCGAGGGAGGTGTGAATGTGGTCACTCAAAGAGAGAGATAAGGCAAACTGCCCACCTGACAAAGGTAATCTGCCATACAGATGGTAATGGAAAACATCTTGCATTGCAATTTTCAACAACGTTTTCCAAAAGAAATGAAGCAGCAGGATTTTTTTGGACTGCCCAGTGGTAGCTGTGTGTGGGTGTAGTTTGGATGCCTCCACCTTCCCTGGCAGGAAGCAGTAACCTGGAAATCATTTGGGAACCTGACATTGCAAAATCTCCTGTCACAGAGCCTGGAAATGAGCTGCTCCAAGGGTCTCTACTCAGGATGCTTGAGAAGGGAGCCAAAGCTTGGGAAGGAGGAGCAGGGCAGGATCACATTTTGGTGGACTCCATGATGTCCCAGTCCTGGCTGCTGGGGAAGCTCCTGGGACAGGCCAGGGTGCTCTGAGACACCATCTGGCTCCTCCTGAAGCTGCTGATGGAGCCCCTCAGGGAGCCCAGGCGCTTCCAGAGCCTCAGCTGGGGCTGGCTGGCATCCATGGGGTGCTGGGGCAGCCACTCCTGGGGACCCCAGGGGGAGCGGCCCAGCGCCCGAAGGTGACAGAGGGTGACAAGGGCCAGCAGGGTGGCCAGCACCAGGAAGATGCAGACGAGCCCCACGATGGTGGGCAGCCAGTCTGTGCCCTCAGGGGAGGTGGCACTGGGTGGCACCGGCTCCAGGAGCCCAAGGAGAGGTGGGGTGGGAGAGGTCCCGTTGCCAGAGCTCATCTTCCCTGCAAGGTGACACAGAGAGGTGATTAGCACATGGCAGATGGACAGACAGCCACCCTCTGGTTAAACTGATGGGTTCTCATTATGCCAAGATGTCCAGGATTGTCCCAGCCATGTTTTCAGTGGCACAGGGGGGTGTCCACCCCACACTTGCAAAGCACCACCCTAAACTGAAGTGCAAAACCACCTGGCAAAGAAATCCACCATTATTTATGGCCTCTGGGAGGAGACTTCCAGGGAGCACACACACATTGCATGAAGATTTTCTAGAAGAGATAAATATCTATGTACCACAGAAAGCTCAAAATCCGCCCCCCAGGCTGCTGAGGTTTGGTTCTCCTCTGTTCCCCAGAAATGCAGGTTTGTTGAATTGGCTGTCATTTGGGGGTTTTGTGATTATACTTCCAAAGAAATTGGACAGTTGGCTGAGCCTGTGCCCTGATAAGTCCCCATCAAGCTGTGGTATGTGCCAGCACTGTCTTTATTATTTTGCAGGGGTGAAGAGTAACACCCTCACCCTACTCATGCCAAAAATCCTCATGCCAGGCATTTTGCTGACCTGCTTTCAGGCTCAGACATGTCACAGGTGATACAAACCAGCCTCCCAAAGTGCTGGCAGCGCCAGCTCTTGCCTAAAACCTGCTGGAGACTGTCCTCTCCTTTCCCCAGCAAGTCAGATCCTCCCAAGAGCATTTTGCACATTTTTTTGCTCACATGAACACTCCTAGCCCCAGCCAGTGGGGCAGGCATCTCTCCAGAGAGAGATGAGGAGATGAGGGCTGGGGAAATCCTGTTTGTGCAATGCCCTGTGTGCTGGAGGTGAAGCTCTGTTATTATTTATTATCCTTTCCTGTGGAGGTGCGGGAGAGCTGTCTGACTGGTGAACTGGGATTTGGACTGAGCCAATTTAGAACCAAGATCTCCGGAGGGGAAAGGCAGGGCTGCAGGGGCTCCAGGCTCTCTGGCAGAGTGACACAGGTGTGTGCAAGGCAGCAGCCAAACACTCACCAGAAAATGGCCTGGCAAATGGGAAATGCAGAATCCAATGGGTCAGGGCCAGGTCTGTGCCTGGAAAATGGGAAATGCAGAATCCAATGGGTCAGGGCCAGGTGTGTGCCTGGAAAATGGGAAATGCAGAAACCAATGGGTTAGAGCGTGGTGTGTGCCTGGAAAGTGGGAAATGCAAAATCCAATGGGGCAGAGCCAGGTCTGTGCCTGGAAAATGGGAAATGCAAAATCCAATGGGTCAGGGCCTGGTCTGTGCCTGGCAAATGGGAAATGCAGAAACCAATGGGTCAGGGTTGGAGAGGGTGAATCCCTGTGTGTGTTGCAGGCAGTGCCAGGGATGGAGCTCTGCTCACCTGCTCCACACTGATGTTTTCACCTCTCTTCACCCCAAATGTATGTTTTTTACCCATAACCAGCCCTGTTCCTTCCCCTCAGCTGTGGGAACAGAGCAGCACTGCCAAGGTCCCTCTGCTCCAGGGACAGCTCCTCTGTGCTGCCCAGGCAGGGCTGCAGGGTGTCCCACCCCACAGGCAGCCTCAGTCAGGGTTTCCAGGGCTACCTTCAAGCTGGCATTTACCAAAATGCATGTGGTGACCTTGCATTGTTCCTGGAGAGCCAGCCAGGAGGCGTGGGCAATTCCTTCAGGCTCTTTCATTCCTTCGGGCTGGGTTTGCTCTCCTGCTCGTGGCTGCAGAGTTTGTCTCTTAAATTCACTTGACAGCGTTCCATAGAAACCCATCAGGAGGGATCACACTGGTGTTTTCCCAGGCTTTTTCTGGGAAAAACCAGGAAAAAAGCCATGCCCTGGTTCTCTCCTTATACCCAGCTCAGCTGGCAGAGCTCTCATGGCATTGCCCCTTCCCAGCATCACTGTCCCAACCAGGCTCCATATTCTTCACCCTGCTGGGTTAAAAGGGATTTTCGTGTGCTGGAAATCCTGCCCAGAGGTTCATCCCTGCCTGGTCACCTCCAAATGTGACACATTCCCATGAGCACGACGCAGATGAGGATCAGAGGGGAAAAAAGAGAAATTGCAAAAGGTAAAATGTCCCCAAGAAAGGTGGAAAGGTAGGAAAAAAGAATGATTTTCATGCCTGAGCAGCAGAGCGGGTTCTTCTGCCCAGCACCAGGCACTGCTCCCTGGCCTGGCCCAGCTGCCTGGTTTGGCAGTTTTTCCATCTGCTCTCCCTCCCTTTCCTCAAGCTCCTGCAAAGAAAAGCCTGTTCTCAGGCACAGCTCCCATGAAAAGCAACTCTCATTCCCTTCCCCAGCTTGCCTAGCAACACTTTTCCTGGAGCTCCCCAGCTTTTCCCAGTGCCCTGAATATTTCCGCGGGCTGGCAGGAGGACGTGATGCTGGCAGGACCAGCCTGACCCTCCTGGTTGTGTTCCCAGGGTGTGTGTGATGCTGCTCCCCATCAGCCCTGCGGGTAAATGGCACAGGTGCATCCACAGGACCTTCTCCCTGTCCCATCACCAGGGCTCAGGAGGGAGGAGGGATTCCTGACCCCATGCCCACCCCCAAACTTTGCATCCCCACCCATTTCCAGTGCTTTCCCCAGGAGCAGGGATGCCCAACCCCATTCCTACCCCAAACTTTGCATCCTCACCCATTTTCAGCTCTTTCCCCAGGAGGAGGGATGCCTGATCCCATTTCCACCCCAAATTTTCCGTCCCCACCCATTTTCAGCTCTTTTCCCAGGAGCAGGGATGCCTGACCTTATGCCCACCCCAAATTATCCATCCCCACCCATTTCCAGCTCTTTCCCCAGCAGGAGGAGGGATTCCTGACCCCATGCCCACCCCAAACTTTGCATCCTCACCCATTTTCAGCCCTTTCCCCAGAAGGAGGGATGCCTAACCCCATGCCCACCCCAAATTTTGCATTCCCACCCATTTCCAGCTCTTTCCCCAGAAGGAGGGATGCCTGATCCCATATCCACCCCAAATTTTGCATTCTCCACTCATTTCCAGTGTTTTTCCCATAAGGAGGGATGTCTGACCCCATTTCCACCCCAAACTTTGCATCCTCACCCATTTTCTTCTCTTTCCCCAGGAGGAGGGATGCCTGCCTCCATGTCCACCCCAAACTTTGCACCCCCACCCATTTCCTGCTCTTTTCCATGGCATTATCTCCACAGCCAGGGGTCTGTCTCAGCCCTGGGGTGGCCTAGGGAGCTGGCAGTGGCTTTGCCGCGGGGATTTGGGCTCCCTACCTCTCAGCAGCGCTGCCTCCCGCACTCCGGTGCTTCGCCGCCTCTCCCACCGCGCTCCGCCGGCTGCCAGCCCCCTCCTCCCGTTGGGGAGGGTGGCACAGAGGTGGCAGCCGGCTGGGGACAGCCTGAGCCAGCCAGGCCAGGGCGCTGCAGTGCCCCGGAGCTGTGTCCTGCTGCGGTCGAGCCCCCCGGGATGCCTTTCCTCGGCATTTGTCCCTGTAGGATGGGTGAATGCTGCAGTCGTGGGCTGAGCCTCCCCTCCTCATGCCTGCCCCTCATTTTCCCAGAAAATCTTCTTTTTTCCCATTGTTTTATTGCCCCTCCTCATCCTTTTGTGCCACCTTTCCCCCCAGGGCTGTGACAGGCTGGCTGTGCCTGCAGCAGAGGGATAAAGCAGGCTGGAGCTCAGCTTGGCTGCACCAGGTGCTTTCCACCTGCAGCACAAAGAGCTTTTCTCCCACTGCCTGCCCTGCTGTGCCGCTGTTTTCCCGAGTTTGGGACAGTTTGTTAAAGTGCCACCTTTCCTTTGGGACCTCAGCAGGTCGAAGCAGCGGCAGCCAAGCTTTCCTCAGGCTTCATCCCATCCCATCCCATCCTATCCCACCCCATTGATCCCATCCCATCCCATCCCATCCCATCCCATCCCATCCCATCCCATCCCATGGTTTTTCATGTGTGTTAAAAACGCCAATCACTTGTTTATAAAATTTTAAAAGTTTAATGGTAATAAAATGGTTATAAAAATAGTAATATGATTACAGTAATATTAATTTGGACAATTTGAATTAGAACAATGTGAGACAATAAATACAAAGAGTTACAGACAGTCCAGGTACCTCTTTCTGGGCAGCACGAGCCCAGAAAGGCTCCACGTTAACAGAAGATTAACCCTTAAAAGCAACAGCCTGTTGCATGTTCATGCACCTCATCCATGATGCATAAATTCCATTCAAACACAGGATTCTGTCTGGGCAGTGTCAGCTTCTTCCTCTGAATCTTAACAGCACCTTCGAGGCGGGAAGAAGTTCATTTCTTCTGATAAGAAGGCAATACATTCTCTTTCTCTGAGAGATTCAGGTGTCCTGTGGCTGCTATCTCACTGCGAGTCCTTTCTTTAAAAGAAAAAATCCTACATAGCATAGTTTCTATTTTAACATTTTTTATAACCTAAAACTATATTTAACACACTACTTAAGGGAACTAATACAGCATTACTTTCTAACACAACACATATAACATTCATTTGAATATTTGCGAAAAGCCAATCATAAAATACCCGCATTTTTCACAATGTGCGGGCACAGGGATGAGAAATCCAGATGGAAGTCAGTATTTTCCCGGTTTTCTGCTGACACAAGGGGAAGTGAGCAAGAGCAGTTCAAGGTACCTCAAAACCACATTTCAGAGGAGCATCTCTGACTCCTGCAAGCTGTGTGGGGCTGGGGATGAATGCCCTCACTGTTCCCATTTCATGTGCATCCTTTGCAGCAACCCTTCCTCTTCCCTGCATAAATCTGGGTGCAAACCTTCCCGGGAAAAAGAAACTGCTGGGTAGTATTGTGGCAGGAGGCAGAAGATGCCTGGCAGAGGGAGAGAATGAAGGCTCAGGCATTCCCTGCGTTCTCGCCCTGGTGATCTGTGAGCAGCCACGCTGCGGCCGAGCTGTGGGTGCTCGGTGGGGAGTGGGTTTGGCCAAGAAAAGATGCAGGGGCTCGGTGCCAGCTGGGCTGGGAGCCCTGGCCCTGCTGGTCGCTGCCAGGCCCCGCTTCCCAGCTGCTGGCTGGGGTTTGGGGAGGGCCCTGCAGTCTGGTTCAGTGACACCAGAGGGGAGCCCTGCCTTGGTTTTCCCGGGGCGGGTGGCAGAGCCGCTCCCTGCCGTGCACCAGAGCCTGGGGCTGCTCCACCCTGCTCAGGGGCTCACAAGGACGCTCTGGGCCGGTTGCTTTCACATTTCCTTTGGCAGTTTTTCCGTGTGCTGCTGCTTGGGTGACTCTCCAGGATGCCATGGGCTGCGTGCCCACCAGGCACGGGAGCAGCTCATCCCAGCCAGGCTCCATCCCTGGTGGCAGCGCCACTGGGACAAGCATTGGAATACAGGGTAGGGTTGAGGGAGGCTCCTCCTCCAGCACACAGACCCGTGGGATTTGTGGGGTGGTCCTGAAGCTCAGCCCCCACCTCAATCCAGCAGCCAGGGGCTCCTGAGCCCACTGTCCCTGCTGCCCAATGCTGAGGGGAGAGTAACTTAACTTTGCTCTGTATTTGGTAAGCTCTCCAGCTCAGGTGGAGGAGGAGGAGGATGTCCAGCTTTGGCAATATTTCGGACACATATAAATAATATATGCTCCTTTTCCGGGTAAAGTAAAGGTGGCCCGTCCACCTTGGACAAATCCGGTAAATTGGTCCGAATCAGATGGTAATTGATGCGTTATGAATAAAGTTTTCTGTCCCTACTCACTATGAGCTACCTAACTGGCTTGTGGCTGCCTTACGAACCTAGTTACCGTCTAGTTTATTAAAATATAAAAATATAAAGGGGAAACAAAATAAAAATTGCTTACAAAAGACAACATACAAAAACAATTAAGTCCGATCTGTACATTTCAAAAGAAAAATTCACCAGTAAATCCAATTCATTTTCTGCCAGATTGGTGGTTTTAGATGTTAAGTAATTTTGAGACACCAGGTCTACCCAGTCAGTTTTGGACAACAGGTCTACCCGGTGACTAGGAAATAAAGACACCAGGTCTACCCCCTGGGAAATAGACTTAGTGCTGGGTAAAGCCCTGGACACCAGGTCTAGGGTAGGGGGACTCATCCCAGTCTGGAATTCTGTGCCCTTGACCTCTACTCCTCTGCTTTTCTCCTGAAGGTGAAAGCCACGGATGCGGACGAAGGCATTAACGGGAGAGTGTGGTACAGGATTGTCAAGGGTGAGTCCAGGTGCCCCTTCCTGCATCAGGGAGTTTGTCTATCCAGCCTCAGGAGGCTGAGCTCGCCATCCTTTTGCACCTTGGAGCCCACAGAACCGTTTCTCCCAGCCCTATGCAAAATTCAGCTTTAGGACTCGTTGCTGGGCAATGATTTGTCATGGATGGACAGCTAGATAGAATCCCAAAATCACAGGATGGTTTGGGTAGGAAGGGACCTTTAAGTTCACCTCATTCCAGCCCCCTGCCATGGGCAGGGACACCTTCCACTACCCCAGTGTGCTCCATGGCCTTGGACACTTCCAGGGATGGAGCAGCCACAGCTCCTCTGGGCAGCCTGTGCCAGGGCCTCACCACCCTCACAGGGAAGGATATCATTCCAATATCCCATCTATCCCTGCCCTCTTTCAGTCTGAAGCCATTAGCCCTGATCCTGACACTCCAGGCCCTTGTCCCAGGTCCCTCTCCAGCCCTCTTGGAGCCCCTTTAGGCACTGGAAGGGGCTCTAAGGTCTCTCCAGAGAACAGCTGAGCAGCTCTCCCAGCCTGCATCCAGAGCAGAGCTGCTCCAGCCCCCAGCACATCTTTGTGGCCTCCTATGGGCTCACTCAAACACATCCACATTTTTCTTATTTGATGCCATTCTGTAGCTCCTCCTGGCTTGACCCAGGGCCAAACACTGATGCAGCTGAATCTGATATAGCCAGAAGTTGAAGTTTTGCTTGATAATCTCCCTCCAAAGAGCCTCCCAGAGAGGGCTCAGTGTGTCCCCAGGATGGGTGTGGGGGCAGTGGGCAACATCCCTCTCATTTTTTCCCCATTTCCAGGAAACGAGCACAACCACTTCCGCATCAACCCCAGCACGGGGCTGGTGATGCGGGGAGTGCGGCACCTGGACAGGGAGCAGAACTCCTCCCACGTGCTGGAGGTGGAGGCCTACAACACGGAGCAGGGGCCCATGAGGAGCTCCGTGCGGGTGAGGAGCTCGCAGCCGATCGCGCAAAACGCTCGCGAGCTTGGTCCTTCCCAGCAGCTGGACAGGAAATTAGAAAGATCTGGCGTGGGAACTCTCTGGGGGCTGTTCGTGGGTAGAGAAGAGGTTGTTGGTGGGGGGGTTGTTTGATTTTTCTTTTTCCCTGTGGTGTTTTGGTGCTGTTATGCTGCTGAGGCGTGCGGCAGTCGCTCGGAGGGAGTCCTGCTCGCTCGGTGCGATGCGGCTCTGCTGCTGGGAAGAAAAGCTGGGCCTCAGCCTGCTGAAAAACCTGTGTCCTGGCCAGGCACTATTTAAATAATCCAGAACCCAGTGGTGACAGTCATCAGCTGCAGCACAGCCGCTTCCCACGGCTCCCACAAGCCCAGCCCTCCATCTATTCTTAGACCCAGCGCTGGGGTGGGCTCTGGCTGGGTGTGAGGTGCCCCCAGCGCCAGCAGCAAGCAGAAAACCAGGAGAAGGAAATGTGTTCCCTGGGGAAACAGCACTGAACTTGGAGCAAAAATTTCCCAGCGAGTCTCTCTGTTGCGAGGTCTCCAGGGGTTTGATCAGGGGATCTCAGAGGATGGAGGAATTGATGTACCCAGGGTGCCTCCTCCCCAGCAGGGAAAGGCTGACTCACTCTGACCCGCAGGATCTAAAGGTTTAAATCCAATTCAAACATCACAGGCTTAAATTTGTGATGTTAAACCCTTTATGTTCATTCTCCATCCCGTGGTGTTTGTAGAAGAGGTGTCTTGGTTTGGAAAGACAGGATTCTGCTGAGGAAGGCATGGGCCTCCCCTGAAACGGAGGATGTAAACCCTCCCCACCCTTCCCAATTGCTATGAATTTTAAATTAAGGGGCTCTCAGGCAAAAATATGGGAGCAGGAAATAACAGTTCTTTAACAGGGAAGGAAAAAATAAAAGGATCAAATAAACAATGCAGTACACTAGAACAACACGGACAGAGTCAGAACCCAACCTGACACCCTGTGGGTCAGGCTGTTGGTGGCAGTCCCATTGGAAATGTGGCTGCAGCCCTCCTGCAGTGTCAGGGGTGGTTCTGCTGGAGCAAGGGGATCCTGTAGAGAAGGATGTATTCTGCCTCTGAAGATCCAGTGGAAGGAGAGACAGCTGCTGTTCCTCTGGGGAATCCCATGGAGAAGCTGTGCTGGTGTCTCAAAACCTCTGGATTATATCTGGGTAGCAATGCTTGGCTCCTCCCTCTGGATTATATCTGGGTAGCAATGCTTGGCTCCTCCCTCTGGATTATATCTGGGTAGCAATGCTTGGCTCCTCCCCCTGGGCGGAGCATCTCACAATGGGATGTTACAGTTCTTATCAGCCATGCAGTGACATTCAATAGTCTGTTATCAGCAATGTCCCCTCCCGAGGGAGGTGTGATTGTGGTCACTCAAAGAGAGAGATAAGGCAAGCTGCCCACTTGACAAAGATAATCTGCCATTCAGATGGTAATGGAAAACATCTTGCATTGCAATTTTCAACAAGAGGTTATCACAGGATCATGGAATGGGTTGAGTTACTTTAAACCTCCCCTAGTTCCAGCCCCTCTACCATTGTCAGGGACACCTCCACTGGCCCAGGTTGCTCCGAGCCCTGTCCAGCCTGGCTTTGAACACTGAAATGTTTCTCCGTGAGCACCATGAAGGGTTGGTTCCCCAATCTCACCCAGTTCCTGTGCGGTTTCTCCGGGACTCCACAGGTGATCGTGTACGTGGAGGACGTCAACGACGAGGTGCCGGTGTTCACCCAGCGCCAGTACAGCCGCCTGGGGCTGCGGGAGACGGCGGGGATCGGCACCTCCGTGGCAGTGGTCCGCGCCACCGACCGGGACACAGGTGGGAAGGGCAGGTGGGACACACCCAGTGTGGGGAGGGCAGTGAGATATCAGCCACTGCAGGATCCTTATGGCCCCTCTGCCCGCAGAGCTGCCTTTGCCCCCGAGCAAGGCAGCACGGGCTGGATAGCTCAGGACACTCCTGGAGACAGAGTATCCAAATCCTGGTTTTTGCAGAATCTGGGAATCCGCAAAATCAGAGGGTTTTGGTAAAGGCAGGCCTCAGAGGCAAAAGGCAGGCCTGCAAAAGGCAGGCCTCAGAGACAGCAGAACAGTGAATAGGGCTAAGCAGCAGCCATGAGATTGGTCAGCAGAAAAATTATTTAAACTGTTGAAAAGCAAGGACAAATAGAACAATGGTCTGTGTATTAATGCTTGTCTAGAATAACTCCCTAAGCTACAGAAAAGTTTATCTAGAAAGATATTAGAAAGTTCTAAGCTTAATAATGGAGCTCTGTGCACTGTGTTTTAAGGCTTACAAGCAGGTATTTTATTTGAAATAAGCAAGCATTGTTTAACCAAAGGTACGTGTGCTTATGGTGATTGGATAGAACTACTGTCAATATAGAATACTATACAGATATAAATACTGTCAGTGTGCTTTTGCTTTGTGTGATTGGTCAAAAAACTTATAAAGTGAGTTGTAACATTGAGTTCTTTGTCTGCTGCCTGGGATGTGAGCTGCTGGCATCTTCCCATTGTCACAACCATGTGATGAGGCTGATGCTGAAAAATAAACCAGCTCAAGGCACGTTCCACAGCAGCCCCATCCCGTTTGTGATTTGTAAATAGCCCCCAGCCAGTGACATGTGTCCGAATACCCAGGCCACTCATAGCTGTGGCTGCCTTAAGCAAGCTTAGTGGATTTCAGCTCTTTAGTGATTATCAGTTCTTATGATTCCCAGCTCTTTGCTTGCTTGCTAAGGTGCCTGGTGGGCTAGAGGGAGAAGCAGATGAGAGAGGAGAAGAAGAAATGGTCCTGGGGGTTCCACAGTGATGGTTTATTGAGTGGGTCTGTGAAGGGTTCCAGCGACAGCTCTTCTTCTGCCAAATGGGCTAAAACAGCTCCTTTTTATAGGGTACAGGGGGATCCAAACTTGTCCAGCAGTAGGGGTTAGGGGAAAGTGACCTACGGGGTTACAGAGATAAGCTAGGGTCCGAAAGGCGGAAGACAGGAGCTTATTTTGCTATCTCATAATGACTCAGCAATTCCTACCCTTAAGTCTCAGCCCTCCACGGAGCCCTAGCCAATTCCATAGGGTCTGCTACAGATCCTGGCTTGGCTGGGCTGAAATCCCGTGGGATGGGCTCTGCTGGGGGGAGGCATCAGTGGTGCCTGGTGTGGTTCTCTGGTTCCTCGGGGTGCTTGGTGCAGCCAGCACCTCCAGCTCCTGCTCCCTCCCCAGGGCCCGGGGGCCTGGTGAGCTACAGGATCGTGTCGGGCGCGGAAGGGAAGTTCGAGATCGACGAGAGCACGGGGCTCATCACCACCATCGACTACCTGGACTACGAGACCAAAACCAGCTACCTGATGAACGTCTCTGCCACGGACCAGGCGCCGCCCCACAACCAGGGCTTCTGCAGCGTGTACGTCAGCCTGCTGAACGAGCTGGACGAGGCCGTGCAGTTCTCCAACAGCAGCTACGAGGCCGTGATCATGGAGAACATCCCGCTGGGCTCCGAGGTGCTCCGCGTCCAGGCACGCTCCATCGACAACCTCAACCAGATCACCTACAAGTTCGACCCCAACACCAACCCCCAGGCGCTCTCCCTCTTCAAAATCAACGGGATCACGGTAAGCAGCCACAGCACGGTCCCTCCTGGCCTGTTTGGGCACGGTGAGCTTTGGGTTTGGTGACCAAAACCAGAGCTGCTGCTCATGCTTGGCAGGGAGTGATCACGGTCAAAGGCCAGGTGGACCGAGAGAAAGGGGATTTCTACACCTTGACAGTGGTGGCTGATGATGGAGGACCAAAGATTGACTCCACAGTGGTGAGTGGCTTCTCCCAGTTTCCCTACCATCCCCTGTCCACCTCAGACCACCTCCTTCTCCCAGGACAGCCTGTCCTAGCTGAGCTTTCTGCTCCAGCTTCCAGAGTCCAGAAACCCTGTTTTGAGGGAAAACCTGCTAAAACAGTTTTGAAGGAGGTAAAATTAGGGGCATTTAAATATCCACAGCGGTTTGTGTTTCAGAGGGTTATATTTAACAGTTTCACAGGCAGCCAAGCAGGGAGTGATTTGCATTTCTCTGCTGGCTGCAGGGCCAGCCCATGGGTGCTGACGGCTCTGCTCTCCACACAGCACCATGCCCATTTCTGAACCTCGCCCAGGGTGAGGGGCAGATGTGCCAACCTCAGCTAGGAAAAAACAAAGGGATGCCCCAACACTGGAGCCTCCAAATTGCTGCAGAGGGGTACCCATGACCCCTGGCACTGCTGTGGTAGGATGCAGGGTTAACCCACACTTCCTCATCCCTCGCTAACTCCTCATTGTTTGTGTTCTCTGTTTCTCCCTCTGCTTTCCTCCAACAGAAGGTAAGCCTGCTGGAGACCAGAATCCCTGCCAGGGTGCACACTGAGCTGCAGGGAGGGACTGGGGTGGATGTCCCACCAGCACCAGCCTCCCTGCCACCCCCAGGATGTGGGGCAGCCCCATGAGCCCCTCTGCTGCTGCCCAGCAGGATCCCTGATCCGGCTCCCTGATCCAGCGCTCGGGACAGCAGCTGCCGGATCTGCCGCAGCGGCTGAATGAGCTCTCCCTGCTCCTGGCTCTGTGTTGTGAATCCAGCAGCAACAATGAGTGAATCACCCCAGGGCTCACAGCTCTCTCCCCAGCTTCCTCCCGGGATGTTGTCGCACTCAGCCCGGCCGCACCTGGGAGCTTGGGGCACCCATAAATAAATCCCCGGGAACAGAGAGGCTCTTCCTCTCTCATCTCTGTGCTGCCCTGCAGCACTTGGATTGCAAACTCGATGAGAGCATTTCCTCTGCCTAACTGTGGCCAAGGTAGCCAGGTCCCCTTCGAGCATCGCGTGCTCCTGTGCCTTTGTCCAGGAGGGAGGTCAGGTCTCTCCACACCCAGCTTGCCCTGGTGGAGTTAAACACACTCAGCTCTGCCTTCTTTGCGCCTGCTGAGCTTTAGAGCAAATGCTGCCTGACCCTCCTGCTGTGAGCATGGATGAAATCACTGCTAGTGAAAAATTTAGCAGGAAAGAGTCACCCTGCAGCAGCCCAAGCTGCTCTGTGCCTGGGTATTTGGAGGATAAAAACCAGAGGGTGGGCAGGGGTCTGGCTCCTGCCCATGCCCTGAGCCCCGTGTCCCCTCACAGGTGACCATCACAGTCCTGGATGAGAATGACAACAGCCCCCAGTTCGACATCACCTCTGACTCGTCTGTCAGTGTGGCTGAGGACATCGCCGTGGGCAAGAGGGTGGCCCTGGTGCTGGCCCGAGACCCAGATGCAGGCAGCAATGGCCAGGTAGGGACAGAGACATTTGGATGATGCTCTTAGACATGTGGGGTTCTCCTGTGCAAGGCCAGGAGTTGGTCTCAAAGATCCCTTCTGTGAGGCTGTGTGTGGTGTTTCACTGACACAGAAATCCCCCTGCCAGCACCCTCCCAACCCCTTCCCTCTGCATCCCTGTGAGAGCAAGCTCTGGCCATTAATGCCAGGTTTTGGGGGCGTTGTGCAGTGAGTGCCAAGAGTCCTCAGGCAAGGCAGCAGGAGAGGTAAAGCATTCTCCTTGGGCTGTCTGGGGCAAAGAGCTCTGTGGGACGAGTGTCAAAAGGAGCCCTGCAATCTGAAAACCAGCTGTGGCCTCTCCCGCTGTGGGGACCAGCAGCAAAGCCCTTGGCAGGCTGAGCAGGAAGCTCTCTGACATTTGTTATTTTCATTACCCTGCAGACAAGCATTAATGAGGTCCCATCACCCTTAATAACAGAAATTGCTGGCAGCATGGGAGCTGCCAGAGGGGTTGGCCCTGTTTGCTTTGGGGTGGCTGCAATAACCCAGCACACCTGTGGATCCCACTACTTGGACCTTTTCAAAAGCTGGGGGGATGCTGGATTTATTTTTGCAGGGTCTCCTTCCCCTTCCTCCTCCTCAGCATCACCCTGCCTGCCTTGGTTTTGTTTCCCTGTGGTGATTCCAGGTGACTTTCTCTCTGGCGTCGGGGAATATCGGCCATGCTTTCGAGATCCGCACCACCAACGGCACCTACGGCGAGGTGTTCGTGGCACGACCACTGGACCGGGAGCTGCTGGACCACTACACCCTACGGGTCAGCACCAAACCACCCCCTCACCCCATGGTCTGAGCCCCGAGGCTGCTTGCTTGGAGCTGTGAGCTTCAAAACAGCCCTTTTTCCCCTCGGAAATCCACCCCTGACTGCAGATCCAAGCGTCAGACGGCGGCGTTCCCCCACGGAGGAAGGAGCACATTCTGCGGGTGAACATCCTGGATGTCAATGACAACCCCCCTGTCATCGACAGCCCCTTCGGCTACAACGTCAGCGTGAGCGAGGTGAGCACACAGCTCCTCCCCTTCCACCCTCCCAGGGGCAGCTCTGACCACAAGGCAGGTGGGGACAGCCCAGTGTCCCTTGCAAGCATCACCTTGGGTCATTTAAGGCTTGGTGACCCCATGCAAACCTCATCTTTGGCCATTTGATGGTTGGCAGCCCCTTGCAAGCCTCACCTTGGGTTATTTAAGGGTTGTTGACTCCGTACAAACCTCATCTTTGGCCATTTGATGAAGGCATCCCCTTGCAAGCCTCACCTTGGGTCATTTAAGGGTTGTTGATCCCATCCAAACCTCATCTTTGGCCATTTGATAGTTGGCGTTCCCTTGCAAACCTCACCTTGGGTCGTTTAAAGGTTTTTGACCCCTTGCCATCCCCACCATGGGTGTTATAAGGGCTGGTGACCCCTTGAAAGCCCTCACTGGTGATGTCCTCCTCGTTTTGGGTGAGGAAAAAGCTCTGTGAGCAACTGAAGCTCCTGAGGCTGCAGGGAGCAGCCGGAAGGAGAAGTGGCTGCACACCCATGGAAATGCCACCAAAGTGACACAAGGGACAGTGCTGTGCAGAATAAGAATGGCTTTCAGGAAGCAGCTTAGCAAGGGCCAGATAATTAAGCAATAAAACACAATCAGGCATGAGAAAAGACAACTTATTTCCTGACAGTTTAATTCCTGGACTGAGGCAGGGGGGAAATCTCAATTTGGTGATGAAAAATGAAATATGAGTAATAGCCAGTGCCACTTAGCTGTGAGGAACTGCTGCTCGTGATTTATAGCTTAGCATTAAGGATATTGCCCTGTTAAGGTTTTCTTATCTATTTAATACATGTTCATAGCAGGTTGAAGAACAGAATTTCTGTTTTGATTTTCCCCATAATGGGACTATCCAAAAATAATTAGCTGAGCTCTGGGTCCATTACACGGCCTTCACCTCTGCTCACACTGCGGGTTTTATCCTCTTCCAGGCTGTGCCAGACTAGATAAGACCCAATGTGCAGCTTTCTGCTGAGCTGCCGGGTGTTGGAGCAGTGAGTTTGGAGCCTCAAGCACATCAAGTGCCCTCTCTATATTAGAATTACATTATTAATTAGTATTGAAATTTGCCAATATAGCAGGCGGGATGTGGCTTGGCTTGCCTGGCCTTGCTGCTGAAACAAATAGCGGCACTGTGGTGTTTCACCCCAGTGACACTTTAGGCTGGCTGGGTGTGTGGTGTTTCACCCCACAGACACTTTTGGCTGTGCAATGTGTGGTGTTTCACCCCACAGACACTTTGGGCTGGCTGGGTGTGTGGTGTTTCACCCCACAGACACTTTGGGCTGGCTGGGTGTGTGGTGTTTCACCCCACAGACACTTTGGGCTGGCTGGGTGTTACAGCTGGGCCCTTGGGACAAGGCCAGGCCTGCAGGAGCTCTGGGGGTGCTGGGATGGAGCCTCCTCCCTTCAGAGGGTCCACTCCTCAGGTTTCCCTCTGAGGAGAAGCTTTAAGGGGATGGTGAAGGAAAGGAGTCGGTTCTGGTGGAGGGTTTGGATCCAGAGCTTTATTCTGGCCCACAGGGCTCTGAATCCAGAGCAGAAGCAATCCAGAACTCCCTGACCCCATGGTTGTTGTTCCTTTTACCAGGGGGAGAGTGGGTGGGAAGGGGTAGGGAGCCACCAGCCAGGTACAGGAGAGGAGGTCTCAAGGGACAAAGGACTCAAAAGAGCTGGGAGAGGACTGGGAAGTCCTCACTTGGGAATGGTGATCTGGGATGCCCAGGACAGCAAGGGAGCAGGGAAGACTGGCCAAGAGGAATCTCTTGGGAGCTGGAAATTTGGGAACAAAAGGCCCAATGCCCCTCAGGGGTAGAGGGCATCCCTTGAATCTGCCAATCACTCAACGCCCTTCTGGAATTCCAGGATTGACAGACAGTGCTGGGAGGGGTCAGGGTGTGGAAAGGAGAGGTGAGTGACACACCTGGGAGGGAATCATCAGGGGAGGAACGCAGGGGTCTGAGGCAAACCATGAAATCCCACCGTGACAAATGAGGCGTTCCATCCGCGACGAGGCCGGTGGGATTTACACGGCGTTATCTCCGCAGAACGTGGGCGGCGGCACGGCCGTGGTCCAGGTGCGCGCCACCGACCGCGACATCGGCCTCAACAGCGTCCTCTCCTACTACATCACCCGCGGCAACGAGGACCTGACCTTCCGCATGGACCGCGTCACCGGCGAGATCGCCACGCGGCCCTCGCCGCCCGACCGCGAGCGCCAGAGCTCCTACTGCCTCGTGGTCACCGTGGAGGACGAGGGCACGCCCTCCCTGTCGGTGAGACGCCAACATGGGCCTTTGGGGCAGGACGGGGTGGGCAGCGCTGGGGGAGCAAGCTGGGCATCGAGTGTGGGGCGGGAAAGGGGAGAAAACGCAGAGGGTGTGGTGTTTTGGGGACTGGAGCGAGCTTGGCATCGAGTGTGGGGCGGGAAAGGGCAGAAAAGGCACAGGGTGGGATGTTTGGGGGACTGGAGTGAGATTGGCTCTCAGTTTGGGGTGTGAAAGGGGAGAAAAAGCACAGGGTGTGATGTTTGGGGACTGGAGTGAGTTTAGCATTGAGTGTGGCACGTGAAAGGGGAGAAAAGGCTCAGGGTGGGAGGTTTCAGGGACTGGAGTGAGCTTGGCATCAAGTGTGGGGTGTGAAATGGGAGAAAAGGCACAGGGTGTGGTGTTTCAGGGACTGGAGTGAGCTTGGCATCGAGTGTGGGGTGTGAAAGGGGAGAAAAGGCACAGGGTGGGATGTTTGGGGGACTGGAGTGAGTTTAGCATTGAGCATGGGGTGTGAAAGGGGAGAAAAGGCACAGGGTTTGGTGTTTCGGGGACTGGAGTGAGATTGGCTCTCAGTTTGGGGTGTGAAAGGGCAGAAAAGGCTCAGGGTGTGATGTTGTAGGGACTGGAGTGAGCTTGGCATTGAGTGTGGCACGTGAAAGGGGAGAAAAGGCCCAGGGTGGGAGGTTTCAGGGACTGGAGTGAGCTTGGCATCGAGTGTGGGGTGTGAAAGGGCAGAAAAGGCTCAGGATGTGATGTTGTAGGGACTGGAGTGAGCTTGGCATCGAGTGTGGGGTGTGAAAGGGGAGAGAAGGCACAGGGCGCAGTGTTTTGGGGACTGGAGTGAGCTTGGCACTCAGTTAGAGGTGTGAAAGGGGAGAGAAGGCACAGGGTGCAGTGTTTTGGGGACTGGAGTGAGCTTGGCACTCAGTTAGAGGTGTGAAAGGGGAGAGAAGGCACAGGGTGTGATGTTCTGGGGACTCAGGGCCCAAACCTGCTGTGCACAGATTTGGTTCGGTCTCCTTTGATGCTTGGTTGTGCAGGACCTTCCCTCACAGTCGTTCAGCAGGCCTCATCTCCATCTCCAAACACAAAAAGTGTGAGCATCCCTGTGGGGAGGTGTGCTGGTGCTGCTGCCCTGCTCACGGGGTGCTGGGTCTGGAAGGGCTCCAGGCATTGCCCTCCCATCTCAGCACTGGCAGTGGCTGGAGCAGCAGCCCAGCCTCAGCTCCATTCACCACTGATGTGCATGTCTGCTGAGGGCCTTGGGCATGAGAAGAGCTCTGGTGATTTTGGTGAGGGCCTGGAGCGCCAGGACAAGGGGGAATGGATTCAGACTGAGAGGGGGATGATATGAGACCCCACCCATCATCCCATGGTCTGGGGAAGTGACTGTTTTGCTTGGGTCCCTGTTTGTGCCTCTGAGAATGGCTCAAAAAGTCAAAAGAGCAAACACCATGTTGGGCATTTTCCAGCTCTGAGTCCCTTCCAACCCCAGGTCTCTGTGGAGAGGTGAGCGAGCACCCACGGGCACAAATGGTGAGAGGAGCTGACACATCGTGTGACACTCTGCCATCCTTCCTGTCCCCACCTCCACCTGCTATCTCTCACCATCTCTGCTCTGCCTACAGAGCTCTGCCTGCAGAGCCCTGCTCTACATTCTGATGAATCAGGTGGCAGCCAGCAGTGCAAGCTGTGGCTGTGATTCTCACCTCAGGCTTTGCACTCTCAGCTCCTCCCTCCCGCTTGGTTCGCACTCCAGCTTCTGCACCACCCTCTTTTCCATTATTTGCACTGTCACTGAGGCTCAAACCCAGCTAAGTCACTTCCCCAGAGAGAGAGAGGGCTGTGCTGTGGCTGCAGCACACCGTGCCACCAGCTCCTCCTTGTCCCTGTCACCGTGGATGTGGGACACTGCTCCTGGAGTGCTGAGCTGGCAAATCCCATTGCCATGGCAATGGCTGCTCCCCTTCCCGGTGCCAGCAGGGACAAGTGGCACAGCTCATCCCTCCCAGATGCCCAGGCAGTGTCCCCACAGGCTCTGCTGTGTGCCCACCATGTCACGAGCACACGTTCTGCCTGCAGCAGCAATCCAAAGCCAGCCACACAAAGTGCCCAGTGACCCAATTCCTGAGTGGGGAGAGGAGCTTTGGCCCCTCTCAGGGCTCGGGGACACTCAGCTCTTGTCAAAGGCGTGTTGCTGGGTGCCTGCTGGCCTCATGCCTGCCGGGGGAAATGATGTCTGTCAGGGCCTTGCTGCCTGCCAGAAACTGGGGCTTTCACAGGGAGCTCCAGGCTGGCGCAACAATGCACAAAAGGGGGTGATTGTCTGTAATTTGTACATCCATCTGTCCATCCATCCAAGGTTTGGCCTTGTCTGCCTGGGAGAGGCAGAGGAGACAGAGCTGAGAGAGGACTGGGAAGTCCTCACTTGGGAGAGGTGATCTGGGATGCCCAGGACAGCACAAAAGGGGGTGATTGTCTGTGATTTGTACATCCATCCGTCCATCCATCCAAGGTTTGGCCTTCTCTGTGTGGGAGAGGCAGAGGAGATGGAGCTGGGAGAGGACTGGGAAGTCCTCACTTGGAAATGGTGATCTGGGATGCCCAGGACTGCAGGGAGCAGGGAAGACTGGCCAAGAGGAATCTTTTGGGAGAAATGAGGGAACAAAAGGATAAAATAAGAATATTTTCATTTAAAAAAGCATTGTGGGAGGAAAAACACCTTCGCAAGCTGGTGAGCTGCAGCTGGAAGGTGTGTGGGAATTGCAGGAGCCACCTGGCCACTGTCTGACCCTGGGGCACCTCCCCAAGGGCTGGCCCTGCCCCAGAGTGGTTGGGAGCTTCCTGCAGGAAAATCTCTGCACCCCTGAGCACTGGGACAGGATCCTGTGGCACTCGCAGCCCCAGGCACTGCAAGGCAGGGTGGATCCTCACTGCCCAGATGTTGTCTTGCAGCTGGGAATCTGTGTCATCTTCTCCATGGAACTGGGAGCTGAGGTGGGGACCAGCACCCCTGTGCCAGGACTCTTGCTCCAGAATGCATGCAAGCCTGGGAAGCCATTTCTTCTCTCTCCCAGAAGACTTTAGTTTTCCTTCTGGAGGGAAATCTGATGCCACCCAGTGCCCCAGCATGCCCCACCAGAGCCTCTGGCAGAGCTTAGCTCAGCCTGCAGCACCAGGTATCCCAAAAATGGGGTTCCTGCCACACAGAGCCAAACCTGTTTCCAGCAAAGCTTGGTTCTGTCATCAGGCAGTGCATTCCTTGGGGAGCACAGCCACTTGGAGAGGGTTGCAAAGCCGTTAGGACCTGCAGGCAGGCAAACCCCGGCGTGATTCCAGCTGGAGCTGCTGAGACAGGAAGAAAGACCTGCTGGAGGCACCAGCCAGCTGCTGGATTGCCCTGCAGAGCCAGGAAGGGGCTGAGCTGTGGGTGGCAATGAAGCACAAGCCCAAGCTCAGGAAATTCCATCCATGGTACATGGCGGTGTGGGTGCTGGCTTCTCCCTCATCCCTGAACCCCTCCATGGGTTCTCCTTCATCCCTGAACCACCTTGTGGGTGCTGGCTTCTCCTTCATCCCTGGACCACCTTGTGGGTTCTCCTTCATCCCTGAACCACCTTGTGGGTGCTGGCTTCTCCTTCATCCCTTAACCACCTTGTGGCTTCTCCTTCATCCCTGAACCACCTCCTGGGTGCTTCTGGTGAAGCCAATGCTGGATTAATCAAATCCTGCAGACACTGTTTCTTCCAGCCCCACAGTGTGGAAATTTGTGTGCTGCCAGGGATGCTCAGCCTGGCCACACTGCCTGGTGCAGCTGTTGCTCAGGTCTGACTCTGTTTTGCTATGAGTAATGTTTATGTTTGTCTCGTGGCCAGTTTTTTACTCACCTTACATCAAAAAGAGAAACAAAAGGAAGAAAAAAAAACCAAACAAAACCAAACACACTCTGAGTAACAGTGTCTGCCACAAGGTTTGATATCATCACTGTGGCTGAGTCACGCTGGAGCCGTAGTTTCTTTTGGATAATCAGTGCCAGATGTTGTTGTTCAGATGCTGCTGTGCTCACCCACATGCCCCAGAGAATCAGAGAGTCCTCTCTGGCTGCTCTGGCCCTGTTGGCCCCAGGAGAGCAAGGGGAAGCCATCCACAGCATTTCCCACTGTGTCCCCATCCCTCCACCTCTCCACAGGGGCTCTCCTCACAGGAATATCATGCAACACCCTCCAGATGAACTTCCTAACTGACAGCCATTAGGAAAAAAATAGAAAAGAAAAAAAAACCAAATGAAAACCATAAACATCCTTTTTTCCTTTTAATCCGCACTGATAATGAAACAAACAGAAAGATAAATTGCCCTGATCCCAAGCCAAGGATAAAAGTGCAGCAGAAATAAGGCTCCTCCCAACATGTGTTCTGCTAAAAAGGCAGCAGCATCACAAGTCCATGGCCGTTTCAAAAGGCTGGTGAGGAAAGAGGGCTCTGGTGGCAGCAGGGAGCCTCTCCCCTTCCTGTTTTGCAAAGAAAAAGGTAGTACAAGGTTGGCTGGTGATCCTGTTTTGTTCCATGCTGAATAAAGTATTTTACCATCCACTCGCAGAGAGGATGTTCAGTCAAGGATCCAGAAACGTGTTGATGTGGCAGAGCTGAGAGCCTGGCAATAAGTTAATCCTCAGGGAAGTCTGCAGGTGCAGGACATCCTCCCATCCCCACATCCTCAATTTCCAGCTAGTCTGTAAAATGTGGGCAGTACAGAGCTCCACTTCTCCATGGAAACAGGTAGTTAAAAATCAAAATCTGAGCGAGAGAGGTTCACTTCCAGTCCCAGGGCAGTGGCAGGGTGGGAGGCAAGGGCAGGGATCCTGCACACAGCTTCGTTTCTTAAGGCACTCCTGGGGCTGTTGTGTGGGTGAGCATGGCCTGCTCTGCAGGATGTGGTTTCCTCCAGGCTCCTCAGGCTTTCAAGGAATTTGGTGAGTCAGGAACAGGATCTGGAAAAGGCAGAGCAG